AGACGCCAACGATCATGCCGCTCATGACGATCGACCGCGATGGCGTGCACAACGATACGCACACATAGCCAGAGAGAGAGAGGGATATATATATATATATATAGAGAGAGAGAGAGAGAGAGAGAGAGAGAGAGAGAGAGAGATAGAGAGAACAGATGATGTGTCACATAGGTGGGTTAAGCGTGGCTCCATTTCATGTACTCCGTATATCAGACTGACCGCGTGTCACGAATCGCAACACATGTGCGAGGCATGACACGCACGGCGCCGACCCCATCAGGTATGCTGTGAGTTTGCGGTGAGTTTCGCGGTGAGTTGTGCCATAATCTAGCAACAAAGCCCAGCCATTGGCACCAGCACAGCGGTGAATTTGCGGTGAATTTATGCATCGCGTGCCCTTCGCGCTACATGTGTATTTCATGTGTTGCGCAGCCGCCACACATGCGTTACCCACGCATTCCCGCCGTAAACCACGCCACCTCACGCCGACGCCATATCACGCCACATATGCTCCAACACGCTGTGCGTGAATACACACGCCCGTTCCATCTGACAACGCACTGTAACGCACATTTCACATATCCGTTTGATGCCATCGTCACGCCGTGAACTGCACCGTATCTCCTCCATGCGCCAACCATCTCTTCCATCTCCTCCATGTGCTAACCGTCTCGCCCATGCACTTCCCAGTCGCCGCAGGGAGGCGCAGCGCCGACGACCTTGCAGGCAACGTCGGCAGGTCGGACGTGCAGGACGCGAATCACATCGCGCACTTCCCGTCGGGGGCTCGGGGGTGGGCGAGACGGGGAGGGAAAGGTATCGATTTCTCGCGAATTGGGGTGTGAGAAGGATGGTCGACACCGTGCGAGGGGGGTATCGCCTGGAACAGTTCAACGTGATCGCCATGAGAGCGCGTGGTCCCACGTGGATGCCAACGCACGCGCGTTTGCATCAACAGGGGCCGTTCTTGGCCAGTACATGGCGCGTGGGGGGATGTGACTGACACCGTCAACAACAACGCAATCATCATCATCACCACCACCCATCGCGTGGCACTACACTTGCAAACTGAATTGAACAACGATTCCGCGTATGACAGCCTCCGAACTTATGCAGTAATTGGTATGTCGCTTGTGACGTCGTACGTTGGTTCTTAGAAGCGCAGCTCTAGCGTGATATCGATCGACCGTGCCCGCGCATTCGGATAAGGTTGTTCCTCCTGACGATTGCCTGGTCCAAGAATGTGTGGACCCTCGCCGAGCAGCCCCAGGCCAGCATGCTGCTGAAGTTTCTCAATCATGTGGGGTCCCTGGACGAAGGTATGCACCGCTTCAGCACATACCGGGGGTGGTTCAGCGCGCCGCCCGTGAAGCCGATCACGGTGTTCACGAACAGTCCGCGGGACCAGGCCACGCACCCATCACATTACCACCATCAGCATGCTGCTTACCCTTCCCCCTCCTCGTCATAGACCCTAGCTCATCATCATCGCCAACGTCGTAACACCCCCCAGTATTCCCCACCCCACGGTCGTCGTCATCTAACCGCCGCCCTGCTACCCTTGCGCGCGCGACGGCGGTCCTCCATAAGCGGCGTGCGGCCGCGCGCTGATTCTATGGGGCTCTGTGCGACGCTGCGTTCCAAACCGAGGTCGACATCGACGATGCGATTCACCGCGTCGCCGGGACCGACCTCAACGATCGGGTAGACGGCGAGGGTGGAGGCGACGCATGAGTGCGCAATATCTCAGACGAAGGCATGTGATACGTTGTGAAGATAGAGGGTAGTGAGGATTGGGAGGACGGCGCGATGGCGAATGAAGATGAGGAGTCGTAGAAGTGCCTTGATGACCAGGAGGATGATGAAATTGAGGAGGACGAGGGGCATGAGGACGAGGCGGAGGCTGAGGGGGGCAACACCAGCACGACGATTAGGAAACGGTGTGCCATGGCCGCACAGAGCCCACGACACACGGGTCGGGGGGACGGGCGCGGGGGAGCGGTGAATGGCGTGATATTTGAGCCATGCAGCAGCAACACAAGATAACGCAACTCCGCATCCTATACCCCTTCAGGCCCTATCGCATCCGATCACCCTGTAATACCCTATATTCGACGTCGTCCCCAGCCTATCCTCATCCCCTGCCTCTGCCCATCCTCGCCTTCCTTCTTGCCCGTCGTATCACTTCCTCCTTTCGTCGCCGCCCTCCCCCGCCCGATCTCAGGTCGCTCGCTTCGTCGGCGCACCTGGCAAGAAGGCGGTGGTCGAGCTCGTCGCCGAGCGCGATGACAGCCGCCCGCTCTACAAGGCGGGCGTTCGGGGAGGGGGGGTTTGACGGGGGGCGCGGCGCGGGGGCGAGGGGCAGGGTGATGAGGGGCGGCCAGGGAACGGGGGAGGATGGGGAGGACGAAGAGGACCATGCGTTGGAGGAAGATACAGACGCGGGAGAGGAGGATGATGCAACGGAAGATGAGGCGAAGGATGATAAGGATGAGGATGAGCAGTATGATGAGGAGTAAGAGCAGGAGGAGGAGCAGGAGGAGGAGTAGGATGATGATGAGGAGGATGGAGATGACGATGATGGTGACTGTTGCGCCCGTCCCCAATGCTTCATCGATGGCGGACTCAGCCACCCCGAACTCCCTCAATGGGAGTGCGCACACTCCCAAACCTAGCTGCATCCTTCGGGGTTCCTCACCCCCATGTTTCCTCAATAAGCGGATGACGATGATCCGACTGCGGAGGGTGAGGGCGATGATGAAGACGAGGGGGGGCGAAGAGGAGGGGGAGGGGAGAAGGAGAAGGAGAAGGATGTCAAGGAAGAGGCGGAATGGGATGAATATGACACTGGAGATGACGACACAGCGGAATACGACCCCCCGAAGGTGGAGGCGCGGCGCTCGAGCAAGCCGCGCATGAACGGGTGGCGCAGTGAATGGGTGACAGGGAACAAACGGGAACAGAAAGCGTCGGAAACATATCCAGATGATATATGTTCCCGCGTGGCCAATCTTGCGATGGCGCAGCTAGGCGCCTGATAGCTCCCCCCCCCCGCCGTTCCCCATCTCGTCTTGCGCGTCCTCTAGCCAACTACGCCCTCCTAACCATCACGCGCGGGTGCGACATGTCACGCCCGCCTCCATTTGACAACATATATTTGCTACACAGCTTCCCAATCCTACTCAACTACGCTACTCCACTATCTAGTTCCTCTGTCCCAACCAACTGCGCTACTCCACTACTACTCATCTCCTTCCTGATCAACTGCTCGTTCGCGTTCTGATCATTCCTCATGATATGTTCTCGTCCAGTCCCTTCTCGCTCTCACTCCTCGCGCGCGTGCAAGACGCGTGGTTGCATGCTGCTTGGCGCAGCGGCTCTGGCGGTGCATTGACAGACGCGGAGTTCCGCCGAGGGCGACGCCGCCGACGGCGACGACGCCGACGATGGCACCCCCAGGACTTCGACGATGGCGACGCCTGGACGACGACGGTGCGATGACGACGACGACGACGGTGCGATGACGACGACGATCTTAATTCACGCGTGGTCCCACCGCATGGTGAATACAACAGGCGTTGTGCATGCGCTATTGCGAAGACTCATGTGTGTGCGTGCAGTTTTGTGTCATATAATCATGAAGATACACGTGTATCTTGTAAGTTCATTGCGCGTATCACATCAAACTATGTGGGGTATGTGCGTTCGTCTTTGCAAACTTCGGCAATCTTTATTCGAAGGTCGCCGTGCTCGGAAGCGGCGCGCGCAACTGAAATGATATGCGCGTGAACGTGTTGTGCGGAAGCGTTATGTTATTGCGCATGTGCGTTCTTATTGAATATAAGATATGCGTTCTTAACTAAGATCTAACAGACCCCGGGGGCCGCGACAAGGACTCCGGCAAAGGCAAGGACAAGGACAAGGGCAAGGACAAGAACAGGGACAGGCCCGAGAGGGGAGGCCCGCCGTTGGGCTAGCCGAGGCCACCTGCCCCGGCGCCCTGGCCGGCGTGCCTAGCAGCGCGGGGGCCGCCGAAGACCTGCGGCAGCGGTGCTGCGCCCTGCGGGCGCGGTCGGTTAATTGGGGAGCTGGCGCTCCCGGCCTTGGGCCGGGTGCTCTGGGATTCCGTCTGCCGCCTGCCGACCCCCTTGGGGGAGTTCGTCAGGGCCTCCTCTTCCGGCGCCAAGCCGGGCAGGCGGCGGAGGGGTCTGCTGCCGCTGCCCGTGGCGGTCTTTGCGCAGAGGGGCGGTTGCCGCCCTTCCCGTCCCGGGCGCTGGTCAGAGGAACATGCTTCCTGGCACCGCCTCGTCGGGCATGCGCTGAATTCCCTGGGCAGCCGCGCGTGCAGCGCGGGCCAGAAGCCTGGGTTCACGGACCCCCCCCGCGAGGCGTCGCTGGTCCAGGAGACAGCGATGGGCCGGCTGAGCCTGTGGCTGCAATGGTTCTTGTCCGAGGACGACGAACCGCCCCCCCCTGTGCAGCGGGTCGTCCAGGAAGCGGGCCTGGCGCGTGTCCAATGCGATGGCCGCGCAGCCGGCGTCCGCCGCAACTTAAGTGGTTGCGGACTTGGTCTTCCCGACGTGGCCAGACGCGGGCGAGGTCGGCGTGGTTGACCTCGCAGCCCGCCTGGAGGGGGAGCTCCTTGCGCAGGTGTCAGATCCGTGGAAGTGCCTGCTGCCTCAGAAGGAATGGCCCCTCCGGCCTACCCGGCCCAAGGTCCACGGGAGTCAAGAGGAATGGGATAAGTTGGTCAAGGAGGGCCTGCGCCGAGGGCTCTTCCGAGAAGCTGCCCCGGCGGTTTTTTTCTCCGAGGGCGGGCCGGCCACCCAATTTTCAGCGGAGCCATGGGCGTTGACAAGGAGAAGGTGGTCGACGGTGTGCCGCGTTCATTTTTACGCTTCATATCCATATTGACTCCTTTGAATGGGCACACGCGGCCAATCCAAGGTGATGTCGATTTCCTCCCATTCATTGCCCAGGCGATGTAGGTGGTGCTCGAGGAGGACGAGGGCGCGGTCGTGGACAGCGAGGACTTCGTCAGCTGCTTCAACTTGCTGCGGATGCCACGAAGCTGGGACGGTTTCCTCGTGTATGAGCGCCCGGTTTCGGGGGCCGTTCTCGGTCGCCGCGCAGAGGACACCTTCCGCGTCTCGCTCACGACGGTGCCGATGGGTTGGTCTGGCGCCGTGGCCGTCGTCCAGGCGGTGGTGCGCCGCCTCGTTTTTGGCGAGGCGGAGGTCGATCTGGCTACCGAGGTGGCTAAATCCAAGGCGTTCCCGAACGGCCCGAACTACTCCTTCGAACGTGTACTTGGACTCTTTCGATTTCATCCGAGTCCGGGTTAGGGCCCTGGCCGAGGCAATGGCTGGGCAGGAGTCGCCGGAGCACCGGCGTTTCGTTGGGGTGCGCCGCCGCCTCGGCCTGCCGCTCAACAAGGCCAAGTCGCTCATCGCTTCTTTCCAGGCGCTCCTGCAGGGCGGGGAGTTCGAGGAGCAGCCGGCATCTGCGCCCACTGGCGCCGGCGTGGCCGCCATTTGTTACGCTTATCCTTGGGCATTGCGGCCGCCGAGGTGGCCGCGGAAGCCGCGCTTCGCCGCTGGGCGGGCCTCGCGTGCTTCTGCGCGGGTTACCGCCGCCCGCTGTTCTCCATCTTGCAGGACGTCTTCACAGTCATCGACTCTCCGGGCCGTCAAGGGCCCGCCCATGCCGGCGCTTTGGAGGAGCTGCTCCGATCTGAGCGCACTCGCGCCGCTGGCCGGAGCCAATCTGCGGGCGCAAGTGGGGCCCCACATCAGCTGCTTTGATGCTTCGCCACATGGTGGCGGAGCCGCGGTCGCCGACAGCCTCGGAGCGCTCGGGGCTGCCCCAGCCTTCGCGGAGGTCTCTGGCGACGCGGGCGCTTCTCTGTCTGAGGCCGTACGCCGTCGAGGAGTGTCAGTGCGCGCGCCGTTTGCTGGCGATATTGGCATCGAAGGCGCCCGGGGCCAGTGCGCCCGCCTCCGCCGCCTTGCGCTCCCTGGTGAACATTGCTATTGGGACCATTTGGAGCCCATCTGCGCCACTATGGAGCGCCAGGCCGGAGGGCTCGGCACCGGCGGCCCCCTGCGGAGCTCCCGCCGGCCCCCGGGGGCCGCACGCGCATCTGGCGACCATCGCTGACGCCTCTGGGCCTCGAACGAGCTCGCCGGCCTCGCCATCCGGGCCTTGGAAGCGCGGCTGCTGCGCCCAGGCTTCACCGTGGTGTCGCAGCCACCCAGCAGCTGGCTCTGGAGATTCCCCCGGGCGCGATGGCTGACGCAGCAGCCCGGGATATTTCTCGCGGGGGCGTTGGGGAGGCATTGGATGCACAATTCGCTTGCGCTGCACCGTCGCGTTGCCGAGCGCCTGGGGCAGCAGGGCGAGGTGTGCGAGGACGAGCTGTGGGACATCTACGCGGACGTCGTGGCGGCTGCATGCCGGACGCACGGCGAAGCGTCGTGCCCGCAGGAGCCGGGGCAGCAGGCCTTGTGGCTCAGCGCCCAGCTCTGGGAGGCCACCGGCCGGCTCGGCGACGCGCAGCTGAATGAGGTCATGGTTCAGGAGATCATGGGTTGGCTCTCTGCCATGCAGGCCGGCGGCGAGGAGGGCCACCTCCGCGATCTGGTGCGAGCGGCCGACCATCGCGGTTCAGATGTCCGGCTGTGGGCTTCGGAGGTGCTCTGGAACTCACGCCAAACCGCTCCCTATCCAGCATTTTGTTGGCAGTGGAAGCCGGTGTCCAGCTACGCGTAGCGCTGGACACATCAATGTTTTGGAAGTTCTTGCCTTCGTCAACTACGTCAAGTTTTCTTTGAAGTGCGTCTCGAGCGTGTCGAGGCGCTCCGTGCTTGTGCTCGATAGTATGGTTGCTACGGCCGTGATATCCAAAGGGCGGTCGTCGTCGCGCCGCTTGAACGGTCCCTTCAGGGAGGTTGCTGGCTATTTGTTAGCGACCGATGCCTATCCTTTCGTTGTGTGGACGATTTCTGGCTGGAACTTTGCGGACCAGGCCAGCCGGAGGGCGGAGCAGCGTCAGGGCCCATGTGAGTGAGAACTACCAGGCGGGCCTCTAGGAGGCCCCGCGGTTCACGGATGGGCAGCCTAAAAGAGGGCGGTGTTGCGGCGGCGACTTTATCAAGATATCGAGCTAGAATTCGCACATTGTTCGATTATTTGGATTTTTTGAGCAGGATCTCCCTAGCGCACTCTACGCCCTCGACCGCGCTGCGGGCGCCTATTTGGGCCATTTGTGGCAGGAGGGCGAGCCCGAGAGCGGGCGGCAGACTTCGTGTCGGCCCTGAAGCGCCTCGTGCCGGCCAGCCGCCGCCACCTGTGCACCTGCAACTTCTACCTTGCAAATTGGCGGAAGACTATTCGAAGGTGCAGGGCGTTCCCGCTCCCAGCCTTAGCGGTTCGGGGTCTGGCGGGCCTGGCGGTGGCGAATGGCCGGGACGACCTCGCAGCTGCTATTCTTCTGGCGTTTGTGGGCCTTCTGCGCACAGGAGAGATCCTAGGAGTTCGTTTCTGGCACTTTCTGCTGTGCCAGCGCGACTCCCGTGCAATACTTCTCCTGCCGGAGTCCAAATTAGGCACCTCGGGAACTTCGAAGAGAAGGTGGTCATCTCGGATCCGCTGGTCATCCAGGCGGCGCTGCGGGCTCGCCGAGGGCGCGCCCAGGGCGAAAGGATCTTTTCCGGGACCGCCGTCCAGTTTCAGAAGGCTTTGCAAGAGTTGTGCCGGCAGGCGCGGCTTCCATGGCAAGACGTCCGTGGGTGCAGCCTTCGGCGGGGAGGCGCTACGTGTTTTTTATGTCCTCCGGCAACTTGGAGAAGACGACAGAGCACGGGCGTCGGGCACAGAGTCGCACAGCCAAGATTTACATCGATAACGCTTTGGTTCAGCAAGCTGAGTGGGAGATGCCCGAGAGATCTCGCCGCATCTTGGAGTTGGGCAGCCGCGTGGCGTGCAACGTCGCCTCCGGGGCCACCCCGGCAGCGTTGCGGATAGGGGGCCAGGCAGGCGCCGGGTGCCGGTCGCCATGCCGGCTGCTTCCTTGGGAGGCGGCCATTGGGAGGCCGCCGGGCCAACTCTGGGAGTTGGTTGCGGGTCATGCCGCTGCGGCTGATTCCGCGCCCGCGCCTGGGGCTAGAGCTGCCAGGGCGTTTCCAAGGAAGGCGCGGCCGGAGCCAGAGCTGCCGGGCTGGAGCAAGGGCTGCCGGGGTAGGTCCAAGACCTGCCAGTGGGTCCTGGCGGCGCGGCATGTGGAGGCGGTTGCCGCTGTCGCCCTTGAGTGCGCGGGCGTGTCCACAGGTTGGGCCCAGGCTGCCCGGGGGGGCTGGCGCCGCTGCGGCGTTCCCATCCCGCCGTCTCTCTGTTCAAGGGGCACAGCTCCACGCGAGCCCCTGGCCGGCAACAGTGCGCGGCAGCGGGGAGGTGGGCGCTGCGCCTCCTCCCAGGGGGTCTTGGGCGCGCGCTCGCCGGAAGGCGCAGCCCCGCCTTCGGGGGCAAGCGAGCGCTTGACGCTACGAGGCCAAAAATATGGGAAGGAGCAGACGCAGCATAGCAACAAACACTATGCGTGAGGGGGGAGGCGTAGACGGACCCCGATCTTAGTGAGCAGGTGTGGGGCTGCGGCTGCCGTAGCCTTTTGGGTTTCCACCGCCGCCGCCTGCACCGCCGCGCTGCCGTGCACGTGAGTTTCCACAGGTGTACATAAACCTTGTCTTAGCTGTACCAGCCTCACGGGGAGGGGCGGGTGAGCTGGTCACGCCGGTCGCCGCCAGGTCCATCACCAAGAAGACCACCATGGGGACCGCCAGCGAAGACGATGCCGAAGCGCCCCACGCGTCCAGCCGCTCCCCAGTCAGGAGCTCCCTACCAAGGTGAGGGAGCCGCGGTACGGACCCCTCGAACAGGCGTTGTCTCGCGACTCCCCGAGGAGCTCTCAGCCGCACCGCCCCCGCGAGGCGGGCGCATACTGGTCAGGCCGGCCCTCCGGCACACCCTCAAGAGGATCACCAGGGAGGTCGCCAGCAGTCAGGGGGCCCTCGGCGGTGACAGCAGCCAGTGCCCACGCTTCCACTTCGACGAGAGGTGCAGAGCCTCGCGCCAAGCTCCAGCAGCCGCACGGATGCGACCAGGTGAGCGGTCGCGCCCCGCCTCGCGCAGGTCGTGCTCACGGCTGGCCACGACCATCCGCGCATGCTTGACGACCGTTGCGATGGCATTGCTGGGTTCGTCGGACGGCATGTTGGGGGTAGGCGAGGCTGGGGAAAAAACCGCTGCCACACGCTCCGCCTCGGCCGCCTCAAAGGCCGGCTTCGAGGATGGCATCGTCATCCTCGGCGGCCCCCTTTAGTCTGCCCTTGGGCCTCCTCGAGCTCAGCGCCGCGCCAGCGTGGCCGACCTGCGCGTGTTCCTGTGCCGATGCTGCCCACGGCTCCTCCAGGTCAGGCCCAGCTCCGACGCCATGACACGCTAGGAGCCTCGGGGAGTGACAGCGAGGCATCCTCGGTCTCCGCGCCGCCGCCTGCGCCTGCTGCCGCCGTGGCCCGACCGCCTGCCCATCCGCCGGGCGCTGGCGGGACAGGTGGAGGATCCCGAACTCCGTCGGCATCCTCAGCAGACGCCGCCACCTCCGCGCCCGCGGCCGCAGCTGCGAGCCGCTGCCAGTGCCGCGTGAAACGCCCAGGCTAGGGAGGCGGAGAAGGAGACGGAGGCGGAGGCGGAGGAGGAGGCGGAGGAGGAGGCCGAGGATGGAGGCCGAGGAGGAGAAGGCCGAGGAGGAGAAGGCCGAGGATGAGGAGGCCGAGGAGGAGAAGGCCGAGGAGGAGGAGGAGGAGGAGGAGGAGGAGGAGGAGGAGGAGGAGGAGGAGGAGAAGGCCAAGGAGGAGGAGGCCGAGGAGGAGCCAAACAGGTCCTGGCCGCGATGGCCCTGGGCCTCGGCAGACGCCCGAAGCGAAGCAGCCGCGTGGCCACTCGCGCCTCCCCGCGGGCATGCTGGCCCCCGTGCTCGGCGGCGGAGCGATGGGGGCGACGCCGCCGCCGCGACGGCGCGCCATCCGCAGCTGCCGCCATCACCGGACAGCGGAGGAGAAAACGGGGAGGATGCGGAGCGAGGGCTCCGTGGCGCTGGCTCGATCTCGAGCCAGTGGCTCGGGCCGAGCTGGCGCTCCAGAGGCTTGAGGAGAAGGAGGATTAGGAGGAGGAGAAGGAGGAGGAGGAGGAGGAGGAGGAAGAGGAATTGGAGGAGGATGGGGAGGATGATGATGATTATGATGAGGAGGAGGAGAAGGAGGAGGAGGAGGAGGAGGAGGAGGAGGTAAACAGGGAGGAGGAGGAGGTGGAGGAGGAAGAGGAGGAGGGAGGATCAGTATCTTGAGGAGGAGAAGGTGGAGGAGGAGGAGAATGCCGAAGAGGAGGTGGAGGAGGAGGAGGAGGAGGAGGAGGAGGAGGAGGGGGAGGGAGGAGGATGAGGAGAAGGAGGAGGACAAGGAGGAGAACAACGAGGAGGAGCAGGAGGAGGGAGGAGGATCAGGGAGGGTCGAGGCGGGGAGGCCTGGAGTCCGGAAGTCCCCGATCGGCGACCCTCGATCGATGAGGCCTCCCCCCTCGCGGCGAGGCCGCCGAGACGCTGGAGCAGCTGCGGGGCCAGGCGCTCGACGGGGCCAAGGCCCTGGAGACGATCGACCACCAGCAGGTGCAGGCCGACGTCCAAGCGAAGGCTTGCTGGCCACCTCTCACCCGCCCTCCCTGGACTGTTGCCTTGGCTGTGTCAGATGGTGTCTCATGATTTGATACAGCCGGATAAATCATATGAATATGAATATTCACGTTTTGTGTATAGTCGTACATATGTTCAGAAACATATCATGGTGTGTACGGCGTGTGGGTATTCCCATTTTTTGTACTACCCAGGACCCCCCCCCCGAAGTCGGACCCCCCGAATCCCTGGTCCTCCTCTGGACCCCCCGGATCCGTGGTCTCGGGGACCCCCTGATGGCCGCCCCTGCAGGAGGCCCCCCAGGCGTTTCAGTGCTCCTGGAAGCCCTTGCTGGGCCTAGGCAACGGGCCCCAACCGGTCACGAGGGCGGCCGAACGGCCCCCCGGGGGCCCCCAGAGGCCCCAGACACCCACCAGTCGCCCGAAGACGACCCAAAGAAGACCCCCAAGAGGCTTCCAGAACGCAGAAAACATTGATTTGTCAGTGTTTGTTGCATGATTTTGGGAATGCCCTGTTCTTCGGTCTTCTTCTGGGCGTCCGAGACCGCCTGGGAGGCTCCAAAATCGCAACGAAAGCATCCGAGAGGGCTTCAGGGCAGTCCAAGAGAGCCCCAAGACGGCACAACAGGGTTTCAAGATGGCCTAAGAGAGCCCCATGACGGCCCAAGATGGCTCCAAGACACCCTCCGAAGCATTCCAAATCGTGACCCGGTCGTTCAGGGAGACCCTGGTTGGAGGCAGGGTGGCCCGAGGAAGCCCCCAGAGGCCCCCAGAAGACGCCCAGGAGGCCTCCAGAAGGCCTTAAGAAAGCTTGAACAACTTCTGTGAGGCGCCCAGAGGCTCTCCAAAGAGGAGCCTTCGCAAAAAGAGCTGAGGAGGATGGGGGAGAATTCGCAGGGTAGGGCGAGACTGAGGAAAAAGAAACATGGAGTAAGGATGCCGACTAACATTATTATAGCGGCGATGCCGGAAAAGGCAGCAAGGAGTTATCACTAAATTATTTGTTTTACCTTGCTGCCATTCCGCCTGTATACCAAACTTCAAGGACCAAGGTGCGTGGCGCGAAGCGCCACTGCAGTCTTGTGTGTATATATATAACATATACGTGGTGGCTCAAGCCATTCTGGCTCAAGGCCGCGGCAAAGTAGTCGCGAGAGTTCCCGCGATCTCGCAGCCACGGCTGGGCTGGGCGTGCAGCACAGGGTCATGGGCGGCACAGGCAAAGGCGGCAGCAAGGGGAAGCCAGCGGCACAGGGCAAGTCTCTGAGTCCGCCACCAGTGGAGCAGCGCAGCAGCAGTCCGCGCAGTCCGCGCAGTCCGCGGCCGTGGCAAAGTCGCGAGAGTCCCCGCGATCTCGCAGCCACGGGTGGGCTGGGCGTGGAGCACAGGGTCATGGGCGGCACGGGCGAAGGCGGCAGCAATGGGAAGCCGGCGGCACAGGGCAAGCCTCCGAGTCCGCCACCAGTGGAGCAGCGCAGCAGCAGTCCGCCGCCGCGCCGCATCAGTAACGACAGCTCAGACCCTTCGACGCCTGATGCCGTGGCGCCCGAGAACGTCACCGTGAGGGCGAAGATTTGCTATATCTTCCTTGCCTTCTTCGCCTTCTGGTTCGGCGCCGCGCGCTTTGACATGGACGGTGATGGGGATTTCGACGCAGCGGACGTGCAGGCCATAATGAACGGCGGGAAGAAGTTGTTGAAGCTCAACTTCTCGCGGCCTGTCACGAGCAAAAGGGCGAAGAAGGCGCGCCGGAAGAGGATCGAGGCGAAGAGGAGGCAGAGAGAAGCTAAGGAGGAAGAGGCTGACAGGACGCACCAGGAGATCGTCCGTATGAGCAGGGAGGCGGGCGGTGTCACGGGGACTGTGGCGAACGTTTTGGAGCACGGTGCCCACAGCGTAAGGAGTTTGGCTGCGAAGGGCGACGCCATCTTGGATGCTGACGTCGAGGAGGAGGCTCAGGAGGACGAGATCATTGACAACCTAAGGCAGTTCTGGCCCTGGTTCACAATCATTGAGGTGCTCATGTGCCTCGGCTTCTGGGGCGTGAACGCGTTCAACACGAGTGCCTACTCATTACTGCAGTCCGACACGGTTATCACAGACGACCTTAAATTGACCGAGTACGTGAAAAAAGACCCGAACGAGCAGCTGTTCCTGGACAATTGCAAGAACGAGTGCAGCGCTGCCGACGAGGCGTGCGTGGGCATCGGCTGGAAGAGCGGGCCGTGGCCTGAGTGCTTCCTGCTGAGCTCGCTGCCGACCACAGATCCAGCTTATCCGCCCTGCCAGAAAGACGCGTGGGGCTGGCGTATGTACGCGAAGCAGGCGTGGACCCCCTCCATCATGTTCTTCATGAAGGGAGGCGTGGAGAGCATTTGGCCCGGGTTCACCACCCTGGACGCTTACAACTTCTGCCACGAGGGCTACGACATCAGCTTCCTGTAGAGGTGGTGGAGCTACCAGTTCACGCATGGGAGCATTATGCACGTTGGCGCCAACTGCTTCTCATTGATCATGTTCGGCATTCCCTTGGAGGGCTGGCAGGGAACAGGCATGTTCGCTGTCATGTGGACCGTCGGGGTTCTCGGCGGTGCCTTCTGCTGGGCGCTCTTCGACCCCTACACCACCTCGTACGGCGCATCCGGAGGGTGCTACTCCCTTTACGGCATGCACGCCGCAGACCTGATTCAGAATTGGGGCGACAAGAAGTGGCGCTTTGGGACAGTATCAGTCTTGCTTCTGGTCGCTGGTGTGGAGTCGGCCGCCTTCTGGGCTTCGCGTGACGAGGAAAGTTCTACGGCTCACACTGTGCACGTTGGTGGTCTCGTCTCTGGGCTCCTCATCGGCTTCACGAGCGGCCGCAACGACCGCTGGAAGATTTGGGAATACGTGTGCTCCGCGATGGCCTGGGCCGTGGCAGGCATCCTCGTCGTCGGGAGCATTTACTTCTGGTTCTTCTTCAACGAGCACCCCGGCATCGGCAGCTTGTGGAAGCCGCTTCTTGGCAAGACTATGGAGCGCCCCTTTTGCTGGATCGGGTATGTGTGCATCGGAGATAGTGGCAACCACTGTCCGTTGATAGACGACATTACCAGTTACGCGACGAACGCCGGCTCCTCAACGAACACGTTGAGGCAGTGCGTCATGTGCGATACAAGGGACTGCGTGGAGGGTTGGTACAGCGACACCTACGAGGTCACCACCGCAGGGGTGACCACTGAGCACTACAAGTATTGCCCGACGGAGTCGTCGCGCAACTTCTGCACCTTTACCACCGGCGACAGCTTCGACCTGTGGTACCCTCCGACCAAGAGCGCGTACCAGCTGACTGACACGCCTGCGCCGTCACCTGCACCGACGCCTCAACCGACGCCTGCCTGAGAGGTTGACCGGCAGGCCCCTCTGCCCTACGTGCTGCAACAATTTGTCGGCGCCGTTTGTCCATCGGGAGGGGATGTTGTGGAAGAGCCTGGGGGGAGGAGCGATTTGGGAACAGGTCGGCTCGGCGGCGCGCAGAAACGGAGCAGGGTCAGGGCGGTCCTCTACAATGCCCCCCCTCCTCCCCTCCGCTGACTAGGTGAGGGGCGCGAAGTTTGTTTGGATTTTGGGTGCCGATTCCTTCCAAGTGGCCCGTCGCCTTCTTTGAGTGCCACACCCCCCATCGCGGCCCCACTGCTTACCGCCAGGTACTTGCCGAACAGTGCTGATTTTTTATGGTCCGTCTCTTTTCGCGCGCCTGCGGGCTCGAGCCCGCAGGCGCGCAGTAAAACCAGACGCGCTCTCGGCCTCTGGCTGGTTGGTCTCGCCCAGAGTCGTCTAACCCAGAGACCGAGCGGATAAGGATGTTGAGAGAGAGGAGAAACAGCGGAGAAGGAAAAGCGGGTGAATGAGGAGAGGGTCCATCTTCTCGGTCTTGGCAGAGTTGTGAGGAGGTGTAGCCGCTTTTTTGCGCGGCTGCTCACGGTGTGCCAGCGCGCCTTCTGCATGGGCGGCTTTTAGTGTACTGCTTTACACGTAATGTATACGTGTGTATATGTACACATAATGGCGCACCGGGCTCGGGGGTCGAGGGCCGGAACCTCGACCACAAATGTGGGTGCCGGGGCCCAGGCCCACCTCTGGGAGGCCTAAAAGCGCCCGGGACAGCCCTCAGACAGCAACCCCGGCGGCCGCAGACGGTCTCGAGACACCCCCAAGACACCGTCCAGCGACGCACGATGCGTTTTAAACTGCCCCGGAGGCCCCCAAGACGCCCCAAGAGGCCCTTAAGATGCCGCCCAAGAGCGCCCCGAGAGGGCAAACATCGTTGATGTTTATTGGTTATTTCATTGTTTTTCGCATTCTCGCTGTTTCGTGCTTCCGGCGCTAAAGCACCGCCCAAGAGGCTCCCAAAACCGCTCCAAGACGGCCCAAGAGGCCCCCCAAAGGGCCCCAAGACGGCCCAAGAGAGCCCCGAGACGGCCCCAGAGCCGCCCACGACGGCGCAAGAGGGTCCCAAGAAGGCCCCAAGAGGGGCCCAAGAGAGGGAACGCGAACTGACAAATCAAACTCTCCGCTCCAAGATGCCCCCAAGAGGCCCCCAGGAAGCCCCCAAGAGGCCCCAAGAGGCCCCCAAGAGGCTCCAAGAGGCCCCCAAGAAGCCCAAAAGAGGCTCCAAGTGGCCCCAAGACGGCACCCAAAAGGATTCAAAACTCTTTCTAAGAGGCCTCCGAAGACATGCCAAGAAGGTCCCATGACGACTTCAAGAAGCAGTCCATGATGCTCCGAGGAGGCCCCAAGAGGCCCCCAAGAGAGCCCAAGAGGCCCCCAAGGGGCCCCCAAGCGGCCTCAAGCAGCATCCAGGAGGCCTTTTTTTACACCCCTCCCCCCAGTACAGTTGTCCTGCCATGAGGGGAAGCTGCAGCAGTGCGAAGCACCTCGACTCAGTCCACGCCGCACTGGTACCAGTGCTCCCAGACGTGGCCCTCCTCAAGGTCGCACTCCACCGCCTCGCCGTAGACCACCACCTCGCCCTCGCTGTACTGGTTCCAGTACATCTGGAAGTGGTCGCCCCGGTTGCGGAAGTTCACCTTTCAGCAGCTTGTCACGCCGCTTCCGCTTGGTGTCAGCACCCGAACACACCCCTCGCCTGGGCAGCGGACCAGGACACTCCTGGTTCATCCCGTCCCTCCGCTGCGCCGCATATGCCCCACATTCTCGACAGACGACATAGGGCCCGCATATCTGCACCACATGCTGCCTCCGTGTGTCGGGTGCGTCAGGTGGCGCCTCTTCAAGCCTCGGCTGCCTCCTCGGGGACCGCGACCTCGCCGCTGATGCATCACTCCCCTGGCCCTGGCCCAAGTGGGCCTCGCGAGCTCCCCCAGCTGCCAGCTGGGAAGCCCCACCAGGCTCTGCAAATTCAGCAGCACCTCGCTCTCCTGCGGCCAGACCCGCCACGGCAGCTCCCACGGCGACGGCAGCCGCCACAGGCCCAACCCCCGTGACCCCCGTAGCCGTCGACGTAGCCGCACGCTGCCGCACTCCTCGTGCAGCTGCGACGCAGGCCTCGAGCGAGCCCGCGCCAGCTGTCTCGTACACCTCGTCTACCATGCGCCACGGAGGTGGGCGGCACTCCGCCTCCCACAACTTCTTCCTCATGCGTGCCGTGGCTGCACGCCTCCCACACCGCGTACACACCTGCCACTGCCCACGCTGCACCACCTCGTGCTTCGTCAGCTGGATGTGTGGCTGCTGCTGCCGCCTGCGCCTGGGCCCAGGCGGCCGTGGGGGGACATCAGGCCACTCTCCGTTCAGCTGCTGGTGCCACCACCCGACGTTCTGGATGGCCCACTTGATCTTCTCCCCGAGCTTATCGAGCACCTCCTGCCTGCCGTAACCGTAGTCGTCCTCGGCACCGCACTTCGCCAGGAGGTCCACGGCAGCGTTACCCCTAGCGATGGCTTGCTGGCCCTCCTCGAGCCTGTTGATCGTGGCCTTCGAACGGTGCGCCGTGACGTGCCCCACGCAGCTTCGGTCCAAACCAACTTCGACCACCTTGTGCCATATCCTACGCCACAAGTCCGCGTGTGGCCGCTTCCAGGAAAGACACCAACGAGCACCTCGAGCCAGACCGTCGATAATCCCCTGGTGATCGGTGTGGATCCTGCATGGTGGCATCACCACCTCCAAAACCTTGAGGAAGGCCCACATCTCCGCTCGCTTCACGGTCTTCTGTACACTGTATTGGCACGACAATGGGCCCCAGAGCTGGATAGTTGGCGCACCTTCTCCGTTGATCGTCATAGCTGCCCACCCAGCCTGCACCCACTTGCTGCTTCCCATCTTCAGCCCGTCGCAAACGATGTATCCCGTGAGGTGAGCCTCGGAGCCCTCGTTCACCACGAAATGGTACTGCTCCTCCGTCACGGTGCGAAATGCCAGTCCACCGACGGATCTCTCACAAGCCCCCTCGTCCACAACAGGCTGTCCATTGTGGCCGCGCGCGGCGTCGGACGGAGCCGGTTCGGACCCCTCAGTTACACTCACTCAGTTACACTCAGTTTCCCTCAGTTACACTCAGTTTCCCTCAGTTACACTCAGTTTCCCTCAGTTACACTCAGTTTCCCTCAGTTACACTCAGTTTCCCTCAGTTACACTCAGTTTCCCTCAGTTACACTCAGTTTCCCTCAGTTACACTCAGTTTCCCTCAGTTACACTCAGTTTCCTTCAGTTACACTCAGTTTCCTCTCGGTTACATGTAGCTTTCCTCGCATTGCGCTTGCGGCTTGGGTCTTACAACTGCAGCCTCTTTCTGACGCAAGAAACTGAGACGAAACTGAGGGAAAACTGAGGGGGACAGCGGCGCCCCTTTGTCAACACCTCCCTTCGCCCCCTCCTTTCAGTTTCCCTCAGTTGCACTCAGTTTCCGCTCGGTTACATTTGACTGTCCTGGCACTGCGTTTGCGGCTTGGTATCCTACAGCTGCAGCTTTTTTCTGACGCAAGAAACTGAGACGAAACTGAGGGAAAACTGAGGGGGGCAGCGGCGCCCCTTTGTCAACACCTCCCTTCGCCTCCTCCTTTCAGTTTCCTTCAGTTGCACTCAGTTTCCTCTCGGTTACATTTAGCTTTCCTGGCACTGCGTTTGCGGCTTCGTATCCTACAACTGCAACCGCTTTCAGACGCAAGAAACTGAGACGAAACTGAGGGAAAACTGAGGGGGGCAGCGGCGCCCCTTTGTCAGCACCTCCTCTCGCCCCCTCCTTTCCCATCTTCTTCCGCCATCCTTCCTCGCTGCTCTGCCTCCCTCATGTTCCTTCGTCCCCCTTCCCTTATCCTTGTCCTGTTCCTGCTGTCGTTGCTCCTCCTCCTCCCCTCGTGCTTCGGGGCGTCAGGTTTTTTCCGGGGTCGCGGCCTATGATGATGATGCTGCTGCTGCTGATGATGCTGATGATGATGATGATGATGATGATGATGACGATGCGTATGACGATGAGGAAAGGAGGATGATTGTGACGGACGGCGGGGATGAACAACATGTTCGGTCGAGGACGACGAGGAGGAGGAAGAGGAGGAGGAGGAGGAGGAAGAGGAGGATTGCGGCGGTGGTGATGGTGAGGGGGAGGAGGAGGAGGAGGAGGAGGAGGAGGAGGAGGAGGAGGAGGAAGAGGAGGAGGAGGAGGAGGAGGAGGAGGAGGAGGAGGAGGAGGAGGAGGAGGCGTGTGGCGCCGCCGGTTCTGGCTCACCACGCTGCGGCGCCGCGTGCTAAGCACGATCCGGTCCCACAGCGCACAGCGTCATGTCCTCGAGCTCCTGCCAGCATCCCGCCCCGCGGAGCGGAACGACACGCTATCAGCTCGCCAAGGGATGGCGTGCCGCCAGGGGCGCCGCTGCGACACGCTCAGCAAAAGTCCCTGGCCGTAGGCTCCCTGGCGGTTTTGGGCCTTGGCTGGGGCTGCCAGCGCGTCCTTGTCGCCACGAGGCCAGGCTGCAAACGCCACATGGGGCGTTTCAGAAAGGGCCTTGCCTTCAAGGGTCGAAGGAGTTGTCATCTCTTCCTCGGCGGAAGGCAGCGGAAGGCAGCGGAAGGGCGGCGGAAGGTCGTCGGAAACAGAAACTGTCCCCAAAGAGATGGAAACAATTTTGGGTTCAAGGTTTCCGAGACCGCCCACGTGATAGGTCCGAGGGGCCGACAGAAACGGGAGGGGCCCAGATTTCCAGGCGCCGTCGAGGCATCATCGGGGGCGCCAGGGAGGGACTACAGGGCGGCAGTCGTCCGGGATTACGTTTCCCATAGTTTAAAGTTATGGGAAACGCTAGTGTGGCTCATCGAGTACGGTTTTTGAATGAAAATTGCGTTTCCCATCATTCGCGAGGTGTACGGCCTCGTCCAGGGAGGTTTTTTGCTGACGTTTTCGTGGGCTCCCTGGGGTTTTGCCAGCCTCCGGATGCTCAGCCGCAGCCGCGCCTCGCCAGGAGCGGCCCCCCAGGTGTGCCCGGATCGTCCCGTGAGAGGCCGCCGGAAACCGGGCGTGGCGTCCTGTGACTTCTTCTTCTTCTTATTATTATTATTATTACGTATGATTCCTCTTCCTCTTCTTCGTTTTCGTTTTATTTCTATTATTACTTATCTTCCTCTTCCTCTTCATCTTATTTGTATTATTATTATTATTATTATTATTATGGATCCCATCTTTACATTATTATTATTTTCTTATTCGTATTCTTCGCCCCTTTCGTCATAACACTGATGGTTACCACTGTTTCTTGTTATGTTGTATTTGGTATTGTTATCTTGTTATCAGGATTGCTCTTCGCACTCGTATTTGTACTCGCATTCGCATTCGCATTCCTATTTGTAGCATGCGCATTTCCATAAATGTTATCAGTAGTTGTGATGTCTATGATCATGAGACCATGAGTACAATCACCATTTTCGTATAATTCGTATCATTCTTATCACTCTTCTCATTACTATTGACATTCGTATTATTCTTATCCTTTTCGTTATTCTTCTGCTTCTTTGTTCAACACGCTCCAAGGCCCCCGCTCGTCCGCGCCCCATGCTTGTGGCCCCAGTGCGCACCACCCCCTTTTCCTGGCCCCACTGGGTCCGAGCAGATCGGGTTGGAGGATCGCGCCGCATCGTCGATGCATCGGCGATGCGGCCCGATGTGGAGCTCGATTTTCTTCGCGCTTGCGTCGTCGATGCATCGCCGATGTCGCCGATGCATCGGCGATGTATCGCCGATGTATCGTCGATGCGTCGGCGATGCAGTGCGACCTTCCGACCCCATGCACTCCGACCCCATCTCCTCGCCAATTCGGCTCAATACAGGTCCAGACCAACGGTTCGCGCTGCGAATCTGCAACAACTGCCTCTCGCAAGCTTGCCTTTCCCTGGAGGTCGCCTCTGAAACTTGGCCGTCGCTGCCACTTAAGAACTTGGCCAGGGCTGCCACTGCAGAAGTTCACTCCACCACTGCTTGCCTTTCTCCCGCGCAAGATCGCGATGTCGTCAACTTGCTCGTGCAAAGGGCAATGCGGCTGGAACACGTGTGTCGGAGGTTGCATCACGACGCCGAGGCGCGGCGTGGGCGACGGGACCATGTGTTTGAAATGCCACACTGGCCAGACGAAGTTGAACGACGAGTTTGGAGGGCAGGAATTTGCTTGCGACGCGTTGAAACTGTTGTTGTGCAACGCCGTCATGATTACTTATCTAGCCTCCATGATGCCCTTGCGCACTCCTCTATATCGCCTTTGTCAGTTGGGCAAGCTGTCGTGTGCTCGCTGTTCTGCGGATCTCCGCGGTGTACAGAGAAAGCCTGCCCACTCGAAGGCCGACGGGTGCGCTCAGGCTTCGCTGGGGGAGGCGCGCACTCGCTTGGACGAGGTTGCCGCGAACCTGAGGACCCTCGCGAAGAAGATCAAGACTGGCTCTACTTGCGCGGATGCTTCTGGGCTCGACCTGAGAGACGACAGTGACGCAGTCGTCAAATTTGATGACCGGGACATTCAAGTTCCCCCGCCGTCTGTCCTCGTGGATTCCAATTTCCAGCCGGCTGCTGACGCGGGATATCAAGCAGTGGTATCCAGCGGTGGATTCACTCCGCGGTCGGAGCTGCGATACCCTGTGGGTGCGATGTCGCAGGAGTGCGGTTGCCCTGCGTGGTGGCGGGTCGAGTGCCTCGACGAACGTCTCGAGACGATGAAAGTGTTCTTCGATTTCCGGTCCGCGCTATCTTCGGGAAGCTTATCAGAAGCGGAAAAGGAGATGGTCAAGATGGACGCTGCCCTCATCTTCAGAGTAAATGATCGCAGCAGGCAAGTGTCCCCAGTGACGACGAACGCGTACAGGTTTTACCGCCACCACGCAGCCCCGGGTTCCTCTGCAAAAGAAGCGGCTGAATTTCTCCTGAACGCATGTCTGGTGCGGAACACGCTATCAACGCCTGTTCGCGCGGCCATCCAGGAGATGACGATGCCCTACCTGCGCTTGGGCGAGGGCGGGGGCATCGCCGACCTCGGTGAGCTCGACGCCTTTATCTGGAACACCGACGGGGACGTCTTTGGGACGTTCGTAAACCCAATGCGCCTGCGGGGCACTGACCAGCTAGAGGGCGGGCTCTGGGACTTGTATGCCGACCTGGAGAACATGGGCGCGCAGGTCCTGCAGATTGCCGAAGCCTTCTTGCGCGACTTGGACGTCGAGGCGCTGCTGCTGGGGATTCGCGCGGTCCCAGGTTTTGACGGCTCTGGGTTCCGCGCGAAAGAGATACTCTGTGATTTTCTCGACAACGTTGACCTCTTCGTGGAGGGCCCAGCTCAGCTTGCAGGCGTCAGGGCTGCGTACAAAGAGGTCGTTGTGCTTGGAGTCGGCCCCTGCCGCACGTGCAACTGGCTCTTCAACAGGCCCTTCGATTTTTGCGAGAAGGCGCCCAAGAAGGAACGAGTGGACACTTACGTCCCGGCGCTGCGGTACGCCGTCCAGCGGCTGCGGTCCTTGTTCCCCTTGCAATATCAGCATCGCACATCCCTCGACATCCTCTACGAATTCTGCGAATTCAACAAAGTGCTCAAGGCGGTATACACGCCCGACGGGTACCCGTACGTGCCGACGAACTACAACACCGATTGCGACCACGTGTTTCACAACCTCTTCACCCTGACGGAATTCGGGGAGCTCCGGGCGCGCATGGTGCCCTTCCGCCGGAACATGAAAAAGATTGTTTTCGGACGGATGCGGAAGAGGAAATTGGTTGGCTAGCGCCGTCATCGGTACCGTCCATTGCAAGGCTGTCGGCTTCCAAAGCAACATGCATGTTCGACGCGTGTCAGCGCTGCAACTGCACGTAACAAATGCGCGCGCATCCCGTGCACATGCCTGACGCGTGCTCGCGACCGGCGCGCCCCCACCAGCAGTCGCCCCCCCCCACCGCCACCGCCAGCAGTCGCCCCCCCCAGCAGCAGTCGCCCCCGCCAGCAGTCGC